TCTGAATGCTTTGCAGGTAAGTTAATGGGGTGTGCACAACCTCTAGAAAGGTGTGGCATAGCTTGTCAGGAATTGTGCCACACCCCATTAACTTACCTCCAGAAATAATTAGCGAACTCGATACTTACAGTTCCATAGCCTGAATGTCGTGGTTTTCACAAAAGTAATTTGGGCACGATTCGTCTTCTTTGTTTTAAATTGAAGTTGGTGAAAAACACAGCTATTAAAAGCGCTTGGATGGCTCTATATTGCGAACCCTCAGAATTTGCTAAATCTTGACTAAAGGAGTTTATTTGACCCGTTATTTTCGAATGTGTTACTAAACATGCTTGGTAGAGCCTTTATATCATACTTACGGAAGGTAAACGATAACGCAGGTGGGAAGTGGGTACTGAGACAGAATTAAGGGGGGAGGGTCGTATCCGGCAGTTGTGTGCCACACCTCTTGCTCCACTTTGACTATGACATCCGAAATCAGCCATCCGAAGAAGGCCTGGATGAAATGAAAGACGAGGAGATATGCTCAAAAATTTGATACATCCTTTCTTTGCTGCGAATCTTATCCGGTTTCAAGACGGATCGCACATGAGTAGTGAAGCAAAAAAAAATGACAACCCGCTGCTACAAAAACGGAATTTCGAGATACAATGATAAAACAAGGCCCGCGATGTTGTGCGCAGCGCGGTCCCTGCATGATGCGCGCTGGCGCGTAAATGTGTGACTGCACTATGCGAGGGTATGATGCGGAAGACGACAATCCTCGAATTTTGTGCCTTCCAAACTCTTCGGTGCTAAATGACACGGTAGGGGAACGTGGGGGTGGAGGCAGACTACTATACGACTCGATGACTATACTACTATACGACTCGATGCCATAAGTAAAATTTTGTAAATTTTACCAAGAGCGACTATACTATTTGCATTTTGCGCGCATTGTCGCTTTCCGCATCCCCCCCCTATGTGACTCTGGCCCGTTAGACGCATTGTACGTTGCTGGAAATCTAGAGGATAGGGGAACGAACTCCGCCAGTTTGAAAACCGCCTCCGCGGACTACTGATCCTGCAACGACATGCAACAATATAGCAAAAGGACCAGTTGCCAGCGAAGACGGGCTCAAAGTGGCGCAGTTCGTTCCCCTACCCAAATTTAGACCCCGGACTTTTGAAGAAATCTACATAACCACGTCATGGGTTCCTTTCTAGCGACTCGGGGCGCAATAAACAGTTCTAAAACAACAATTAACAGTTTAATTTTATAACAATTTTATATATCTTGTTTTTTTTTGTTTCTAATTACAACAGTCTCGTGGTACACAGCAATAACATTGGCAGTGCTCGTTCTCACATAAAAATCTCACAAATACTCTCACTCAAGCCCAACTTAGCAAACGGCGCCATAGGCGCCGCTTATCAACCCCGTGTTCGAAAAAACTCGCTGCGGCCGTGGCGATTCGCAGACAAATCCACCCGCAATCGGCTGCCGGAAAACTGGATGCGGTTCGGTCGTCGTTATGTGAAGCGATTTCGATGCGAGAAGCTGCCGCTACCCTCATATGGGCCAAAGATAACCGCTATCGGAATGCAGTTGTAACCAAGGTGTGGCGGATCGGTTCACACTCTATGCGGTTTGTGATGCATGTCGGATTTATGTGTGACAGCTAGAGTTAATGACACTGACAGTCAAATAATGCAGAGCTTTTGCTACAAGGGAATATTTTTCCCCAAATCTCTATCCCAAAAGTACTCGCAGATAGCTAATTTTGCGCCGATACTTTGGCTTTGACAGCTTGACATTTGCTGGCGATACACGTCCTAATACGATTACTCCAGCTCTCCTTAGCGATGAGTGCAATTTATCCGATTCATTGCTAGCGAAACATATCGCGTGTGACGAAAAACTTCCAAAAAGTGGTTTTATGAGCCTCATGATACAAGGAATGTGTTCAGCATATGTTCTATCAGAGATCAGAATGTAGCGATCTATGCCACTAATTTAAGGGAAAGTCATGCCATCAATGGCAGGTTATAGAAAATGCGAAAAATATTGACTACAGGAGTTCTAGCCTTTTGTGATCTCAACAAAGATGAACGAAAGTGGACCTATCTTAAAAAAACCGGCTAGAAGCACCAAAAATGCAAAAAAAAATTCTGCTATGAAAACAAAACCAGCATCATCATAAAAAATAGCTTCATTAGGAATAGTTGAATTCAATGTTACTACGGTCATGGTTCTTTGCTGATAACTGTTTGCTCCGAAGAATTTATTCTCTGAGCCAGACTTAATCAAATTTGAAAGGCTAATTGGAGTAATCAGAATGTAATATTTACCCGCCTGTCCAAGATCAGCGCAGTTATTATTCGACTTCCTTCCTCTTTAATGAAATAAAACCTTTGGATAACGGATAACATGCTAAACGATTACAAAAACTTGAAAAGATAACAATAAAAAAGACTTCCCAAACGACTTCTGCGCAACTTGCAGATTTAATTTACGATATGCTATGCTGTTTCATTTCCAGTGCTATTTGCTTGCGACATCGAGTGTTGCCGCAGGGCCGTAAGATGGTAAAAAACTCATCACAGATATCCGTTACTGATCAAAACGAATACGTTCGAAGTATCAGTGTAGTGAAAGTTCCCAATTACAATTCCCAATCGCGTAGAGAAGGAGCTTCATTCTACAGCAAATTTCAAAATGGGTGCGCCAGACAGCTTGTTATCAAATAATGCACTTTTGAGGAACAACAAAATTTTGTGGTCGGGTCGTGGAGTCAACGCTGTACGCGGTCAACAAAAGGGCACATGCAAAAAATTCTTCGAGGGAACACATGAGGGAGCGAACACTTTTGCTATGAGCATAAATTAACTGACCAGGATCACAGCACAACTGTGGCAAAGAGAAGTCGATTCATTTTCCATTATAAAGATAGAGGCATCCATTTGTTCCTTGAAATTGTGTTCTCATTGACTTTTGGAAAAAAAGCACTTAGATAAATAGAAGAACGAGATTCTTTTGGTTGAGAAGAGATCTTTTTTGTATTTTTGTATGTTCTACAATTCTCATTGTTGACTTTGGTATCTTCAAAATAAAACACCTCCGTAAATGTTTCTGGAGTATCTCTGTGCCAAATAAACTTGTTAGTGCTCCCTAACTAATTCGACTTTTTCACAATGACAATATAACTGTTTTCTACCTTCAAAACTTTAGCGAAATGCGAATCTATGAAAGGAAAGAAAAAAGTCAGAATCTGGAAGAAATTGTGCTATTTAGGTCAACCTTGGAGCATATTTGACTACATTGAGAAAGATTTTTCCATTATCTGCAAAACTGAAACATTGAGTCATTGCCAAAAGACCATTGAATATTCACAGCTGTCTATAACAATCGAGTAATGAGTTACCAAAAATTTTCAAAGCCGCTGAGAGCCGCTACATTGGGACTATTTCATAACAGTTTAATGCTATATTTATTTTAAAGAGAGTTCATGACAGGCTGGCTGGAAATTTGACCATGAACTTTTTTAGAGATGTCAGTAAACTAGAACTGGGTTGAAATGTGTGATAATGCAGGCTAGTGCCCCAGATCACATGCTAGGTGTACATAAAATGCGAAATCAAAGGAACTTTGGTAGGTTTACGATGGTCATCTCCTACGAAATTGTAAAGGATCTATCGTAAAGTTAGTTCATTAGCATTCCACAAAACAATTTCTGCTCATTCATTTTTGCAAGGTTAACAAAGGTTTTATTGCAGGTCTGCGCATTGATGAGCAAGAATTACCGTGTGTTAGAAATGCTGAAAACAATTTCCATCAAAATTAGCTTTTTCTCATCTAGGAAGATAAACAGCTTTTCAAGGCTCGGTGCGAAGTAAGTGATTTTATATATTTTGCAAAATCTTATTGTTAGATCACATTGATCGATTGAGAACAGAGTGCAATTATAAGAGATGCCAACTCTTTCTATTTGAAGCAGCAGTAGATACATTTTTAATAGCAAACCCGAGCCTTGAATTGCTCATGGTCAGGCCGACGAGATGTGAATCAATAAAAATAAGAAGTATCAACTTGAACTTATAATTTTCTTTTTCCAATCGGACTCAACCAAACTTCAAGTTCAACGAGTGTTCGATGGAAGATGTGGAGATTGGCAAGGACGGCAAAAATTATTTTCTTCTTGAAACTTCTATATTGGAAAGAGAATTTTTCACTCTTGCTGGATAGATATAGGATTTTTAAAGTCGCAGTGGTTTTTCAATAGTGCGGAAGAAAGGGACCCCAAATGATAAATATCTGCAACAGAAATTTGATTATCAACAAAAACAGCAGCTAAGAACTATCAGAACCAACTGAACGAGAAGAAATTATTCCCTTTTTCGGAATTCAAAATTCTACGAGACATAAATCGTTCATTTCAATGAAAGTCGTGCGAACGGAGGCAAAAAACCAGAAAACTGCAATGATAATCTCTCAAATGTTCAAAAAGACCTGAAGTAAGCTCATCTCATCGTCAAATACGCCTTTAGTCCTTCGCAAACTGCAGGAAGAAGAGTTACATGAATTTTATAACAATTCCTAGTTTACCTAGCCAAAATGCTAGTACTTCAGTTCTAATCCTCATCATCGCTAGTGCTATTTCCTTACCGTCTATCCAGCTATGCACAGGCGGGATCTCGTTCGGGTGGGCGTCGACGGTCAGCTCGGCGCGGAAAAAATGCGACGTCACACCTATCTCGTATAAAAGGTGGCTTCTTGCCCACAAAAACCACACACTCACAACAATCTCAATCACTTCTTCCACATTTGGATGTTTATCTCATCTGATTCTATCCATTCTAGCCAAAAAAATCCACTTTTTGCTTTTTTCACGTGATTTTATTAGACCTAATTATGGATGAATTAATAGCATTTTTCAAATCCGCTTTTTTATTGACTGATTACTGTATCAAGCTTGAACTATCTGTATTCTTATGCCAACTTACTCCTTTGGTTTTACTTCCAGATGGAGGACAAGCTAAAGCTCGTGGAAGCCGAGTCTGTCAAGAAGTTCGCCTTCTTCGGTGTTGCCGTCTCAACTGTGGCCACACTGACAGCTATTGTGGCAGTACCTATGCTTTGCATGTACATGCAGAACGTACAGTCTGGTCTTCAAGACGAGATCAACTTCTGCCGTACACGAGCTGAAGGACTTCGTGGAGAATACACTAAGGTAGTTTTTATAATCCCTTATTTGTTTTTTTTCTGTTTTTAATTAATTTTCTCCCGTGAATGTACGAGTTTCCCCTTCCAGATCGAGTCATTCCGTAAGGTCGAATCTCGTGAGAAGAGGCAAACCTACCAATGCTGCTCTTGCGGTATGGGACCTGCTGGACCAGTCGGTAACCCAGGACAGGATGGAGCCCCAGGAAACGATGGACGTCCAGGAGCGCCAGGAGCACCAGGACCCGATGCACCCAACGATCACATCATTCCTCGCCCAGAAGACTTCTGCTTCGAATGCCCACCCGGCCCAGCTGGAGCCCCAGGACAGCCTGGGCCCAAGGGACCTCCCGGAACCAACGGAGCCCCCGGAGAGCCAGGACCCAATGGACGACCAGGTGCACCAGGTGGCCCCGGACCCCAAGGACCACCCGGCCCCAACGGAAACGATGGACAGCCAGGACAGCCTGGAGCTCCCGGACAAGTCCGCACCGTACCATCACCTCCTGGACCACCAGGACAACCCGGAGAGCCAGGTCCACAAGGACCACCCGGACCCGATGGACGCCCAGGAAGCCCAGGAACCCCCGGAGCTCCCGGACCACAAGGAGATCCAGGACAGGATGGAGCCCCCGGAAACCCAGGAGCCGCCGGAGATCCAGGAGCACCAGGAAAAGATGGATCCAAGGGATCTTGCGATCACTGCCCACCACCACGCACAGCTCCCGGATATTAGACGGATGTCGAGTATGCCTCATCAACTCATCTGTATCTCTGACCTCTATGTGCTTGTGCCAATCTATTTATTTCATGTCATTTCATCATACGGTTGTAGAAATGATGTACGATAAAATTCTATTACACAAAAGCTTTCTGAATAAAAAGATTTTATAAACTGTTCTCGCATTGTCCCTCGAAAAATTGGAACAAAGCATCTACAATTGTAAATGATACTTTGATGAATCAGCGGCTTCCAACACATTTAAAAATTCGCACTAGGGCAAAGAATTCGCTTTAGAGCATAGTTTCAAACAGATGATTGTCCTTCTTTTGAACTAAACGCCATTTTGCACTACTCGGAACACCTTCGCCTAGACTATCTCTCTTCCGCGTTTTCTCGTTATCTCAGCATTCGTTTTTGCGACGCTAGCCTCTTAAATGATTTGAGTTTTCCGGATAACACACTGATATACACAATCACACAAAGCCATCGCATCCGCGAAATTCGTTTTCGGTGATTGATAAGAAAGTCGATTGTTGCACTCATTCGTCGGAGAAGAACAGCGTTAGTACACCTTTCTACCGCGAGAAACCCGAGAAAAGTATCGCTGTCGAATTTATGGTCTGATGCGCTAGAATCAATTCTAGGAAATAGGAATCTTAAACGAGAGTTTAGGCTTAGCAATGGCATTTACTTATTGTTAAAATCCTACCGGTCTTACTAGTGTTTTTCTAAATACATTTATCATAATTTGCAACACCACTATCGGAGCTTTCCGATAATGGTTAAAAGGTCTGTATCCTATATCCCTATCCTATCAAATCTTACTAAAATGATCTAACTGTACTTCCAGTAGGTGCGGCTCTGTGAGGGTCACACGGCTCCATAATGTCGGGTTGATGTCCATGTAGAAAGAAAGAACAGTTGCACTTGGTAGACCTTTCTCCAGCAAAAAAAAAATGCTGTAGATCTAAAAATATATCTTGTGGGACTGCTCACAACGCGAGTGCGTTGCGATATCATAGTAGATATTGCGAAGGGTCATTTCCGTTATCGGACCCCTTTTTTCAGAAAAGGAAAGCTTCTTTCCTTGTACCATTTGGTTTCAAGTTTAGAAGTGTCAAACTCGCATTTATTAAAAACGCCATGTCATCTGCACATTTGATAGATTTTGCCAGGGTTGTGCCGGTTACCTGTCACGTCATGAATCTCCTCTTTCAATTCCTCATTTTATAACTGAACAATTCGTAAAATGAACACACCAACACATAATACTGAAATGATGTCTTTAGATAAACATACTGGTTCTCCCCAAAACTAAGAAGAGCGCTGTTGTTCCTCCATCTAGCAATAACTGGAAAAACAAGAAGCAGTGAAGCACTTCACACAACCATTTGGATTCTTTCCTGGCTGAAGATGCATACTGGGAACAGCTTGAGGAGAAATAATATACTTGAATCAATGCTGAAAACGTCAAAATGTTCTAACAAACTTTTTGTATTGTTTTATCTTATATATAAAGCTGAATGTCTGTTTGTCTGTCTGTCTGTATGTATGTCTGTCTGTTTGTGTGTACGTATGTTCCGAATAGAAAATTCCATTTCTGAACCGATCCGGACCAAACTTGGCACACATACACTGCGGGCCCCGGCTGGTGTCATAGGCTACTTTTCGTCATCGATCGATATCGATTTTATCGATTTTTTGCAAAATTTGAGCTACGGGGCTGGGAGTTGGCACAGGGGGGTAATCGAGCATGCTGATTACGAATATAATAATGACAGGGCCGGGCGGAGCCGGGTAAGTCAACTAGTATCATAAAACGGAGCTGGATGGCTTTTGAGTCCTTTTAGGCGCTCTTGTACCTCACCGGATATTTTTCAAGATAATATATAAAGCTGAATCAAAGTTTGCTAATTTTCCTTTGATACGTAGCAGGAAGACAGTCCTCATTGAATTTACAAGAAGATCTTTCCGAGCTAAAACACTTATTTTATGAGGAATGATTGAGAATATGGGTCCGGAAACGAGAAGTTAGCAGGAAAGAGGTATTTCGATTATTTTATTACTCTAACTGCTTGGTGTAACTACCCACTCTGGGCAGTTACTATTATAGAAACGGGCTGCAATTTTTTGCCTACCTGGTAACACGTCGGGGTTGGTACAAGGGAAGGGGCGGATTGAATGAGTATTTATATTGACGCAAGTTTGTAAAACCATTGTCCATTAGCGGTAGATGCGCTTTACTTGTGCAATGTCATATTTGCTCCTTCCTTTCTCTTTGTCATCTACTAGATACTTTTAGCATCCTGATGATATCTGCAGGTTATTATACTCAAGGTCATTGAATCTTATGCAAAATTTACGGGACTCAAGTGCGAGACGGTCCCTGCACAATGATTTATCAAAACTAAAGTTTGCATTCAAAATTTTTGAAGGAGATATAAATTCACATATTGGAGTGTTCAAAGCCCTTCTCTCTTCCCTTCTAATGTGAATGTTCCCATGTTCAATTCAACGTTTTGCAATAGCTATGTTTTTGTAGAGATATTTTTTAGGCTTTGTAAGTAATTTTGGCTCCTTCAGCTATCTTTTCAGTTTTATCAACGTTTTGTTGCATTTGATCGTACCGTAGAAATCTCCGAAAAATTTACTTTCCAACTTTTTTCTAATATCTTTCTCAGTGACCATATTGGGGTTCATGCGATGAGGGCTGCATCAGTATTACACCACCAGCAGTAAGTTTTGCAGACTTTGTGACCTTCATTAGGTGACACAGTGAGGAAAGGAACTCATCTATTATCCTAGTTTTTGGAGAAAGTGTTAGATCGCACATTTCGAGTGCAGGGCGTAGTTTTTGAATCTTGAAGGTCACCTAATGGCCTGATGATGTAAGATATAGTGAGAGTTGCGAAGTGAAAGTACAAGGACAATTCGATTATGGGAACCATGCACTTCCGGAATTCTGCAGATCAAACTTCGTGGAAAAGATGCATATGGCAGGGACAAGAGAAAGTATGAGTATGTGAGCGTAAGACAACTCCATCTCGGGACGAACGTCTATGAAAAATTTCTTATTAGTTATGTGACAGTTTGTATCTATAGAAACACCACATCACTCTTAGAATGTGCAAAATTCCCGTGAATGGCGCGGAATTTCGGGAATTCCGCGGACTTTGGCGGAATTCCCGGAATTCCGCGACATTCACGAAGTTTTGCACATTCTGAGAGTGATACTGTATGTCGCCAAACGCTTCAAATTGACAGATTGAAGAGAGTAAGAAAACTAAGGAATTACTCACTCTTTAGAAAAAACATATAGAAGAGAGAGTTGTAACAAACAGACCTCAAAGGAATTTATAAAAGTTGACGGCAACACTTTGAGTAAAACATGAATGAGTCATCATAAAAACTCTTACATCTTTGACCAGGGATTTTTTGAGTACTTGCCATTTATTTGCCCTGGTGGATCTTTGTCGCCACAGGAAAGGAAGTCAACGAAACTTCTGTAAATGGCCTTCTGAGTAACGCCTTTTTCGAGAACTTAATTTCTCTTTTGCTCGCCCGAAATTTACGATAAATGTGTGTAAAGCAAGGTAATCCGAAATGTACTTAGCCACTTAATGTTATCTTTTCCATCTATTAGTACAATCTGACGGGGTGAGAGTGCATTCGCTTCGAAACGTGAAAGGTAGGAGACGAAATCGAAAGGGAGGGTACGCTACTTAAGGCGTGCGAGAAAACAAGGGCGCATTTCGAATAGATCTGTTGTGTAAACACTTGATTTTATAGATAGATTAGGGGGATGGGATGAGGTAACTAGAGGAACACCAGTCGATAGGCTTGTAGCTTAATCTAGTGTGTTTGCGGTGCCTGAATTTTGCCATGAAATTTGCACGTGGATGAATTGAAAAGTGCCAGCATTCTGCACGTGCAATTGCCAGCATTCCAGGCTTACCTAGATTCACGCGAAAATTACCGCGATATCTCAGCACTGCAATGGTACTATATCCACCAAGATACCCACTCGACTCTACAGGGTCTATACCCACTTTCACTGGTTCGTGCTGGTAGGGTCGCGGATGTGCCGTATGCAAGCAGTCTTGCTGAAGCTTAGGCTTACTTCACATGAAGCGCGGTTCATAATTGCACGAACACCCCAGGTTTTGGAAATTCTGGGACTTTCGGAAAGCAAATCAGAAACCTTTCGTACTGCGTAAACGAGCATAGCCGGAAACAATATATGCGGCAAAATAGTTAGAATCGGTGTCAATCTGAGGAACGTTTTTGCGATGCGAATTTCCAGAGGATTATATTTATACGAGCACCTTAACGGAAGCTCATTTTTTCACTCAAAACTGCAGTCTGTCGAGTCACAAGTTTTTGTAAAGTTGTAGTCAAGGTCTGACAAGGGAAGAAAGGTTGGTCGAAGTGGCCTTTTGAAATGAGATGTATACTGCCTTGCAGAGCTTGGGACGCTGGTTCCAAATCCACCTTTGCTATTGCGGGCTTCTGGGCGAGGAGTTATGAAGATTTTTGTGAAAAAAATCTGAATGCAAAATCGTAAGTCGTAATCTTTTCCCAATGTTCAAATGAGGCAGAGCGAATTAGTAAATTTGAATCAAGAATATTTGTTGCACCGAGTGACCCGACTACCAATTAAACCCTATAAAAAATGTTACGACTGATTTTAGCCTACTCTTGCATTCAGATTTTTATTCACAAAAATTTTCATAACTCCTCGCCCAGAAGCCCGCAATAGCAAAGGTGGATTTGGAACCAGCGTCCCAAGCTCTGCAAGGCAGTATACATCTCATTTCAAAAGACCACTTCAACCAAACTTCCTTTCCTTGTGAGAAATATGTATGCTACACCTGAATTCTGTGCACTTCGGAGAGAAGAGTGTTACTCTTCTCGGATGGCTCAAAATGCTTTTGGAGCACTGTCGTTCAAAGCACTTTAATCAGCTACCAAAACCTTGAAAATTCTTTTTTTTCTTGATATCTATTTTATTT